GCCCTCCTTGGCTGTCCCTTTTTATCACTAACCTCCACTGTCCCTCACCGGCAGCAACAAGATCCTGCAGATGACCCACATCCGTGTCCTTACGTGCGATTATGTAACCCACATTACTGACTTGAGGTCATTCAGGTTCCCAGTGTCCCCTGGGCGACCTGATGAACTGGATTTACCAGCTAGCTGGTCAGCAGCCTTTGTTTCTGGCACGCCTTCCAAGAGTTTGTCTATATTATACTCTCTCTCTCTCTCTCTCTCTCTCTCTCTCTCTCTCTCTCTCTCTCGGTGACCTTAGACACCACCCCCAAAGAATGCCCACTTCTCTTTTATTCGGAAGAGGAAACGGCAGGGCCAACAGCTGTAGGAGCAAGCACCTTTCCTTTAAACACTTTTGTCTCCACACGAAACAAAACAACAACTTGAAAGTAGAGTCAGAAAAAACGAAGCTGATTCTTCTGATGCCCTGTTTGGTGGGGTTGGGTAGGAATGGGGGCCATAGCTGGCTGTGGGCTCTGGAAGCGCTTTTCCAAGAAGATGAGGCAAATACTGTAACCTTTATTTTGACATCAGGAACAAGGAGCCTTCCTTCTCTGGGCCCCTAGTTGCAGAGATCTGTCCTTACCCAGCCTTTCAGAAAGGGTCATTTGCTCAGCTTTTATTTCCTCAGCATGCTTTGCCACATTCATTCTGATTTCACAAAAAAGTGTTGCTGTTTTGTTTTTTTAAATGGAAAGAGACCTCCCTGGGATAACAAAAGTTCATTTCAATGACGGAGAGAGCAAAGGGCAAAGAGCCACGTCTTCGCTGCTCTGCAGCTGGATGACTGAAAAGGCGGATTGGTTTTTTTGTTCCCAATAAGTCTCTTAAAAACCTTCTGTCCGTTGATTCCTTTGTCCTTTCACAGCAGGGGAAGGCGAGCTGAGTGGACAGACCTTAACGTTTAATTCACAACCCGCTTTAACTACTGACCATTAAACACCAGAACTCTGAATTGTGAGTGGAGAAATGACATTGACCTTCCATAGCAAAGAACTGGAAAGCCTTTGCTGCCCCTCCCCCTGTCTGCCCTCCTCACACACACACACAGGCGCAGGACGCAAAGGCAGCCTCCATCTAAAGCCTTGCTCTAAGAAGGTGGGAAGAGCCTCGGGCAACCAGATCAAAGACCTCAGCATGGCCCGGGGCTACCGGTGGAAGGCCACATTATTCTAAGCTGGTGCTTACAGTACCTGCCTGGGGCTTTTCTTGGAGTTCACCAGACCAGGGGGTGACAAGAGCTGCAGAAGAAGGAATCCTTTTAGAATCTGTGCGCACTAAATATAAGTCAAAGGGAAAATGAACTCCTCTGGGGGAAACCATTTGTGTTTGGGGATGATAAAGAAAGAGCCTCTAGATACTCAGAGACCATTTCAGGAAGGTCAAGGGTCTGGATGTCTCTAGGTGTCTCTGACTGAAGAGGCCAAACAGAGCAAACAGCAGCAACGAGGCAGTGGGCACTGTGATGGCATTAACGAGACAGCAACCACATGACTTCCTTGTTCTACACACACACAAAGACTTGAAGCATCACCATTTGAGGAAAACGCACTTGGGGAATCTGTGTGCTGTGCCGCAGATTTGCAAGAATATTACCACACAACAGGTGAATGGGTTTCAGAAAGAAACAGCCTAGTGCGTACCCACTTGGTAGGCTGGCCGATGAGCAGCAGCAGGAAGGCCTTTTTAACAAGGCAGGCGGGTGCCACTACACCCTCCCGGGCGGGCGCTCCACCTGCCCTGGGCCAGCAGTGCTCTGCGCTTTCGCCTGCTGCTGCCGCCGCCCCGCGGCTAACTCCTCCAAGCAAATGCAGAGGTGCGAAGGGCTCTGCATAGGTGAAAGGACTTCAGAGAAGAAAGCCGAAGCACTTTGGGAACCCAGGCTTCTGAAGGATCCGGGTGAAGCAGCCTCCAGCTCTGTCCGGGCTAGAGAGCGGAGGGCTGGACAAACAGCTTTCCCCTTCCCAAGCTGTTTACAGCTTTCTGAGTGGAGCTAATGTTGACTTCACTGATTGCTGAATAATGAGAATCAGATGTGCCTTTCCAACAAGACTGGGAATGAAGGTGATATTAAAAATGGGCCCCCAACCTAGCAATCTGCTCCAAATTTCTTAAACTAGGGGCCAGAATGCCCCCCCCCATTAGAAACAAATAAAAATCTCCTTTGGAATAGTATTTTCCTTCAACCGGGGTGGGGTGGGATGCATCCTTTGGCTAAAGCTTTACTAGGGGAGGTGGCTGGCCCTAGCTAAGAGAATTCTGTTACTGAAAAGGAAGCTTGTGGCCAAGTGGAGGTCCCTGTGTGAGCAGGCCGGTCTGCAGGGGATGGCCCTCAGCTGCTCTGTGGTTTCATGAATCTTCCCTTCTGTCTTTTCTCCCTAGAAAGTTGGACAGAAAGCTTCCAGCCCAGCACAATCCTGAGTGCATGGTAAATATTTGTTCAGCGAACAACTGTGGGAACACAAGCCCAAAGCAGCTTCGCACGCGCGCTACCTTTAATGAAAACATCAGTTCAGCCATTGTTCGGAAAGCAAACATCTATTGGTGGGGTGTGAGGCTCACTCGCAGGGTGTGGAAAGCTGCTGCCTTCTACAGGAGCTGAGGAAGTCAGACAAAAGCGGCCTGCGGTGGGGGTGGGGAGGAGGACGGGAGAAGCCACAGAAGCCTGGGCCTTGGACAGCGGCTCTAGCCTTTGGCCCCACACATTGCCAACCTGTAGAGCTGGGGATCGTCCTGTGCGACGAACCAGACTTTGGGGATAAAAGAAATCAGATGAAGAACGCTGAGTGTTTGGTTGCTGCCATGAAACATGAGAGAAAGGGAGAATAAATAACAAAACAGCCTTATTCACAAATACTATGAGAAACACATAAAAACAATGAAGGAAAAGCAAAAAGTAAGTGGTGACTGCCACACACATATAGGCCACTTCAGGGGACAATTCGGGATCTGAATTAAAAGCATATTAACTGGTCTGAAATTACAGTAAATTATCTGCTATGTATTTATGCACATTCAGACCCCCTCATTGAGTCCTTTCTAATTGTTTGGGCACTGCTGTGCTTACAGCACAAGAACAAGAAGCCTCAGGAGGGACCCAAAGACTGTTGTATCAAATGCCTCATGAGTCCTTAAATGCCAAGAATGAGGCTCACTCTGGCTTGCTCAAAGAGGCTTCAAACATTTTCATTTTGCTATGGAAACTGCTCTAACTTGAGATGTGGAAAAAGGCCTGGAAATCTTGGCTCAAGAAGTGTGTGTAGACACGCCCTTAGAGAGCAGGAGATGAACTCCTCTGTGAAAACACTGCCCTCCAAGCTTCAACAGCCTCAGCCTGGACCCAACTCTGAGCCAGAAGTACTGCCTGCAGGTGAGGCCCTTCCTACTGTGCGCCAGGAAGATGAGCCAGTGCCACCCAGGGAGGGCGTCACAGAGAAGAGCTCCGGAATTTTCTGGAAAGCTTACTAAAGAAACAAAACAAAGGAAGAAAACTCCTCTTGGCCAGAACGAGGGAACTATTTTACTAGTTTAGTTTTTTCCTATAAGCTTCTCTAGAGAGTTCCAGGGAGAGATGTCCAAGAATTTGTTGTGTTTTTTAATCATTTTGGGAAAAGGAGCTGCAAACTCCAGCTATCCTTACAGAGAAAAATGCACATTCCATTCATTCTGGCCTCGTTAGCATTCCTCTTCATTGCTCTCAAAGACTTCATCAGGGATAAAGTAAATAAAATAAAATAAAATATTCTTTAGAAAACAAAAGCCAGTCTGTGCAGGGTAGAAATGGCAGCCTTGTGGGATGGCATCTTACTGTGGGCAGGACTTCCAATGAAGCTGCAATTTTACACTCTGAGGGCAAAAGTGTCCACAGGCACCAGCTCTACCATTATGGGAAGGTAGCCTGTCGCCCAAACAGCATCCTTCCCCCACGTTCCGGGCTCAGCCTGCCGTGCTCGATAGACCTCAGGGCCATTGGTTATTAGCTATGTGTGTAACCTGAAGCTGCAAGTCAGAAGCAGGAAAACCATTTCAACACCCACAGTCCCTCTGCTGCGCCCTCACCTTAACTACTCTGAGAAGTGGGTTCTCTTCCCTCTACTTAACGTTTGCCCCTAACAACAAAATAACAAGGCTCCAAGCATGCATATATGTCAACAAAGAGAATCAAGAGGAGATAAGAGGACAGGACTGACAACCCAGAGGGGCAGCAGAGAGATTTGGAAATCCAGTCAGTGGCCCTCTGAGGCATGCCTAAGGGTAGGCCAAGGGCACTTAAACCATTTCTGGAGTCTGGCTCAGAAATAAGTCTAGACCATTCTTTCCTTGGTAAAGTGAGAAGATTAAAGTCAAACTCTACTTTCCCTTCCGTAAGACAGCTAAATAGAGGGGATCAGGCCTGATTATCACTGTGAGGAAAGTCAGCCCAGGTGAAAATCCAGAGCCAACGGTCTGATGGCTTAGACTCTGGGCCTTCCATCTTCGAAAGTGCCCCCTGGAGGTGTTCTGAGGAACAGCCAGTCATACAGCTGGTGTCAGCATTATCCTCACCCTGAGGCTTTAATACCTGACTGACTGGCACTTTTTGCATTGGAGGCTACTCTTTGGAACTTGGATTTTAGAAGTCAGCCAAACACACCAGAGCTGAGCAATGGACACAGAGTCTGGGGTGCATGATGGTTGAAGCCAAGACAGTTACCATGGAAGATGAATCATCTTCCCCAGTTATCGGACTCTTGGACACTTCCCTAAAATGCTGACTGGAAAGATAAGGCTGCACCAAGAACAACCCTTACAATACATTTACAGTGGGAGGAAGCTCTCTTAGCTAGTCAAGTGGCCTTTGACCTTGGGTTTTCCATTAAAAAAAAAAAAAAAAAAAAAGCCTGTGAAAAGAACTTCCCCCAGAGCTCAGGAACGAGTGGCCACCCAGCCGGAGGCCTCCAGAGCGTCCGGGCTCTGACACTTACCCTTAGCCTCTCCTCTGTCCTCGTGGACTGCTTACAGTCGGGATGCCACACGGTAGAACCTGGAAAGACACAATGCACACTGATAATAAAGGCAAGGGAAAGAGGGTGTGGCCCTGAGGAGCGGACCCTCCGCAGACCCCTCTATCCCAGCCCAGGAGACCTACGACCCGGAGTCAGCTCTGCTCTCTGGTGAATTCTGAGCTTGCTCTAACAGTGCAGGGCCACAGAACAGGGCCTGAGAGTACTCCTCCAGAAGAGAGGCTTAGCTCGTAACAGGATTACTTTGTTTGTTTTTTAAAACATACCATTGTTCTTTACAGATAGGACCTGAGTGCCTATTGCCAGTTCCATTTGATTTCAGAATGAAAAACCATGTTTATATAACATCAAAACACCCAAGCCACTTAAAAGAAGTAAAGGCAAACCAACAGACTATGTCCAGGCACAAGACCTACCGAGGTTTTCATTCAGCCATTTCCACAGCTGCCCACACTTAGATGAGAAATCAAATCAACTGACAAAGTTGTTAAAGCTGGTTTATAAATCTTTTAACTTTTTAATTAACTAAAACAAAGTAAAATCCTTTGGTTTAAACTAATGATGTAATTACTTAGGTGTCACTTCCTGTTCCTGCTTCCATGATCTCCCTTTCTCAGACCATGAAGGACTTCTATAGATGGTACAAGTATCAAAGAATTAAATATCCTGGGGCTGGAGAGATGGCTCAGAGGTTAAGAGCACTGCCCAAGGTCCTGAGTTCAATTTCCAGCAACCAGATGGTGGCTCATGACCATCTATAATGAGATCTGGTGCCCTCCTCTGGCCTGCAGGCACACAGGTAGAATACTATATAAATAATAAATAAATCTAAAAAAAGGAAAAGTCCTGAAGCCCTTGTCTTTGGACCCCATCACCAGCATTGGAGCCCTTGTCTTTGGACCCCATCACCAGCATTGAAGCCCTTATCTTTGGACTCCATCACCAGCATTGAAGCCCTTGTCTTTGGACCCCATCACCAGCAT